GGGGGAAGGGGGAGAGGGGGTGGGGGGGGAAGAGGTATGTATCTCCTGCCCTGCAAATTGACCCAACTGCTTATTAAACATTGTCTGTTTTGGGACTGAAAAGATTAATTCCCAAATGTATTCTGAATATTCCACAGCTGGCTGGTGGGATGGGGGTGTGTATATGTGTGGGGGGAGGGGGAGAGCACAGATCAATGTACCGCAGTAAAGCTGGATTCTGTGCTCTACCTCCTCACTAAGTAATCGTGAACACGCGTGCAATCTGTCTTCCAGTAAAACACAAATAACCTGTCAAGGGGCAAGAGAATAATGCAACCAGCAACACTGTGACCCTGGAGGCAGGAGGCAGCGCAGTGATTGATTGATTGATTTATTTCAGGAGGGATTTTTTTTAACCTTTTCCAGTCCCTACGGAGTGGCGGTGATGCTGTTACAGCTTGAATTTAGACAAAGAACAGTAGTTTTTCGTATGTTTATGTGTGATTTCAATACAGGTTACAAAGGAATAACATGCCTGGGAGACAGCATAGGCTCTTAATACAGTTAATTAGGGGTGGATAATAAACCTAGCTGAACCTTTCCGTAACGAGCTTTAGCTCACCCACGGAGGAGCATGACTGTACCTCACAGTTACACGTTAGTCAGTAACAAATTTTTATATCCGCCCACAAAATACAGTTACTGCATTTTGCAGTGTATCCTGTGAAGCGCTTCCGACATCTCGAAGACGTGATAAGGCACTTATCAAATGTAAGGATTATTCTTATTATATAATCACACAGGCGTGTTATAACGCACATGGTGTTTATGTAATAATAATTCACTAATTATTGCTTCTCTGAAAATTTCTCATTCTCCCTCCCAAACTCCAAACAGACTCAAGTGTGTTATAGTGTAGCTCAGGTGTGTCACAGTGTAATTGTGCAATAGTATTTCACAGTGCAACGCTGCTTTGTTTTAGAAGCTTTGTGCCGAGAGGAAAAGCTACAGCTGTGATACCAGATAAGAGATGAACTAGATTCAGATATGCCCTGGGCCAAGTATGTTGGGTGCTCAATATCCAAGCTTTTTACAACATGCACCATTCTGTACTTTGGCTCAACCAGACTGAACTGAGCGTCAAAAGCTTTTTATTATCTGTTATTTCACGGTGCTCTTTCTCCCTGTATGAGTCTTTATCTGTTCTCTTACACACACACAGCATCTCACAATCAGTCTCTTAGTCTCTCTCACACTTTGTGTGCTACACTGTTTCTTTGTCACACATGGTGTCTCACACGTTGTCTTTCACTCAGTCTAACTCAGAATCTTGCTCGCTTACTCTTTTTCACTGTCTCATTGTTACATCTGTCTGTGCCTTACTCTTTCTCTTGCACTTTCACCACCTGTATCTCTTGCACACAAATTCTCTCCCACACTCTTGTCTAATTTAATCTAAATCTCACTCTCATCTAATCTGTGTGAATGCAACGGACACCTATAATTCTATTAGAAAAAGTGATACTTAAGGCATTGGCATTTACAGAGGGGCAAACGGCTGCCAAATTGGATTGTGTTAACTTTATCAAATGAAACAGCAGCTGTTGGGTATAAAAGGCAATCAGAAATTTGGGACAGAGATTCCCTCTAAATTTATATATGCCTTTGGTGTTGATCTACTCCCACCCTATTAGTTTAAAGTGACGACTGTCTGATTCATGGGGAAATGTGATGAAAACCTGGATTTGGCTTACACCTAAACCAGGCTAGGTGGCTGCATTCACTTTTATATCACTTGCACCACCTCCACCAACAACAAAATTAGATTTGTATAGTGCCTTTCACGTCGGAAGAACGTCCAAAGGTGCTGGACAATCAGTGTTTCGGAACCGAGCTGGTGGTCGGATCAGGGAGAGCAGGGGAGTAAGGAGGGTGACCGAAGGCACGGTCAAAGAGGAGGGTATTGAGATGGGTCTTGAAGGAGAACATTTAAATATCAGTAGAGCCTAGTGATTCCTTGCTGTATCACCATCCCAGATTCCCCTACAGTTGTAGCAAGCGGTGCCTTCCTGCCCAGCTCATTGTGTAGCAGTGTCAATTTAAACATATACTGGGAGGATGACTCCACATTAACAAGAATGGCTTTTTTTTAAGTAAGAGCTTGGACCTGAGACTGCCATAGTGGATCTGTGCACATCTTATATGGTCTCAATGGTGAAATCACTTGATCATTGATTGTTCCGATCTCGACATCCAGATAACCAGTAAATTCCACTAATTTAATCTTATCATAATGTGAGGTTTGGCCCATTTTTGGTAAATATTAAGCTTGTGTCATAATCAAAAAAGCAAAGGAATTTATAGCACAGAAGAAGCTCAGGTGTCTGTGTTGGCTCTTGGGAAGAGCAATCCATTCAGTCCCACTTACCTGCCTTTACCCCAGATCCCTGCAGATTATTCCTCTGTTGATATGGAATCTGCCTTGACCACCATACCTGGAAAGGCACTTCACATCCTAACAACTCTCTGTGTAAAAGAAATTCTCCTGATAGCCTTCTTTATCCTCTTGCAAAGTGAATTAAATTGATGCCCTCTCGTCATTGAATCCCGAGCAGTCCAAATAATTTCCTCCCATCTATTCTATAAAACCACTTATAATTGTAACAATATCTAGCAGGTTTCCCGTCAACCATCTATTCCAATGAAAATAGGCCAGTTCTACTTGTCAGATCATTGGTCAAACCATTCATCCTTGATATCAGTCTAGTAAATCTCCTCAGCACCTTCTTTATTAGTTCTGACATCGTTTCCCAAATGGGGTAACCAAAATTGGAAGCAATACTCTATAGTTGTATTCTAACTAATGATTTACACAGGTTTTTTGATTTTATACTCTATGACCTTATTTATAAAACCTGGCTTTGATTCCCTTCCACTCCTCTGATGACTTGAAGAAAACTGAGATCGCAAGCTAAACTGCAACTACTTTATTGGGGGAGGGGGTCAATTATATTAATGATATGATAGATTACTGTATCTAGAACCAGTGTTATCTGGTGTTTCTAACTCATCGTATCCCTGTAAAATGAAGGAATTACATTGAGATGATTAACAAAACTGTAGATCTCTCTTCCCTCCCCCCCTCATATACAGCCATGCATCCTATGATGCTGAGTTGTAGTTTGTCTCCATGAACAAAAAAAAGTGAAATTGTGAATCACTTTGGGCATTAATGTACTGCATTAACCCAGCCTTCAGCGATCACTGCTTTGTAATAGTGCCTCAAGCAGAAATAATCCTTTAATGAATTGTATGAATTAAAAAAAGGCTTTGAGAGTAAGATGAAAAGTTTGCCATCTCTTTAGATGTCTTGCTCCATAAGGAATTCCAAATGGATTTTAAGAAAATCAGTTTGAAATGCAGAATTGCATTGATAGCTGAACAGGGATTTAGTCAAAGGAGATGAGGATGGTTATATTTCTATCAATGGTTGGATATCTCTTTTCCTCAGTACCTGGCAGATGGGACTGTCACTATGGATTACTTTCACCCCCGAGAATAATAGGAAGCCTGCATGCGGGTTTGTTAAAAAGATCCTATTGGATGTTCACTGAGCTTCGTTGGCATTGCTTGGTAAGAGGCCAAAGCAATTTAAACTGTTAGTGTTTACTGGATGAATGCTTCCTGTTAAAGATCACATACAGTCCTGAATGATGTAGATATTGAGCACTGCTCTCACAATTACTGGGTCGAGTTGCATCCCCCACAGGAAGAGCCGTGAGGAGAGCAAATGTTACTGTAACTCCCCACCATCCAAACTGAGAGGCTCCAATGGGGATCATTTGAGGCTATATTTGAAGTGTGCTGCTGTGATCTTGTGGGAAATACTCCCCAGAGATGTTATAGTATCGCTCCTTCCCAATTGTTTAATTGGGGGAAAAAAGCAAATTCCCACTGTGGCTGTTTTTCTCCTTCAGAACACAGGGGTGCTAGGATCATTTTTCCCATGACGCCACCTTAGCTGATATGATCTATTTTGGTATAGGGCAGGAATCAAAAGCAGGAACCTCCCTGGTTTGGACGCAGTGCCTTTTCCAACTGAGTCATTGGGGGGTGGGAACCTGAGTAAGGTTCATCCCTGGGTTACTGCTGCTCACAAATCAGGGAAAAGCTGAAGGGAGTCTTACTAGAATGAGGAGTAACCATTTAATATTTATTTGGGGCCTTGTCTGACCAGTTTCAAACAATGTTGATGATGTTTTAAGAGGTTACCTCTGGCAACTCTCAATGCACTGAATCAGCGTCAGGGTGAGATCTCACACAGAGTAACCTCCCATACTGCTGCCCCTGGGGGAATAGGGTGGAGAGAGAAAGATAGAGGGATTAAATCTCTGAAGTAATTAGAACAGCTAATTAGACAGAGCAGCATTAGGCAATTTAAGGCTGTAACTGACCTGATATGTAATGAAGCTCTTTAGTTTTATTGCTTTTGGAGAACATTGACTGTTCTATCATGAACAGGGCGATGAGCTGATCTTTTATCTGGTGCGATTAACTCAACTTTCTGTGCAACTCACATTCACTAACAAATAGTTGATCAAGCAACTCTGTGCTTCCCTCTCAGACTTATACAGGCCCAGTGAGGCGTGTACGAGGGAGATGTGTGACATGTCATTTTTGTGGGCTCTTCATATAAAATACATGGGATAAACATATTAGCCTAGATGCAAGCTGGGATCAGCCAATTGCAGTGTTATGTAAAGCTCCTGGTGCAAGCAAACTATTCCTGAGCTTCTTTTCAATGGCAACAAACTGAACATAAAATTAACACATTTATAAAGACATTTTTGCTGATGATGAAAATCTGAAATCAAACTAGAAAATGTTGCAAATTGAAAATTGTTGAAAATGTTGCAGCTCAGGATGTAAACAAGGACAGATTAGCGGTGCAGATGTGAAGTGGAATATCATAGTTAGTTCCTCAGTAATCAAACCTTTCAAATAATAGAATGAAGCAAAAATACAGGTATAAACAAGGGTAGTTTATTCATTGTACTAGCTTCCTAATACACATTGCTATCCTGTCCTATTCCATGCTAGTTCTATCCTGTTTAACTTGCAAACCCAGCACAGTCACACAATAAAGGATAGCTTTGCAAACCGACAGTCTAAGGGCAATACCTTTGGGTTCTATTTTGTAGCTATAGCAGTTGGAGATCTGAATCTCATCATTGGGTCCCACTCTGAGACCTTTTTTCATCACTGGCTTGTGCAGGGATCCCAGCTGGTGAAACAGTAAATGGGGGCTTGGTTAGAATAGACAGCTCCCAAAACAGTGTATCGGGACTAGATTAGGATAGACTGCACACAGTCCAATGAATGGGCACGAAGAATAGACAGCACCAGTATAGTGAATGAGAGGTTTCGAAATATACAGCATCCAGCATGGCAAATGGGGATTCAAATGGCACCCAGGGCAGTGAATGGAAACTTGTTCAGAATAGACTGTCACCCAGTGCAATGGTTCCACCAATTGGAGGTGGAGAGTTTAAGCAGCATTAACAACTCAGGTGGAATAGACTTCACTGCCAGTGAATGGCAGCTATGATGAATGGCAATCCTGATGCCTTAACCCATCTGTCTCATTCTCAGTTTTATTTTCAGATTTTTATTATTGATCACCTTAAGCTGCTTCTTGAATTAACTAGTTGCAACTCTCATGCCTGGTAGGAATGAGCAAGAAATGCAAATATGAAAAATGTGTGGGAAACAGAACTTTAGAGACATTTAATAGACCTTGGACAGAGCAATTGAGGTCAGCAGGTGTGTGCAACCTATAACAGTGTCTCCTTTTTGCACAGTGCTTTGAATTGGGGAGCATTTTACCACTTTAACCAGTAGTTCCACCTGCCAATTCACTTGGTAAGGAGACACGGTGGCAGTGTTCGAAAAATCCACCCAGAGGTTTTATTTTCTGGCTTATTGCTTATCATCCAAGTCTCAGTTTTGTAGATAACCAATCTTATTTTGTTCACATGCACATAACACAAACACATTAATCGCTTGTTCAACGTAAGTCCCCTTCAATTTTGTAATTCACTGTAAAACATGAAATATTAATCAGGCAGTCATAAAAAGCCATCTGCCAGTCACCATTGTCCTTCCACTCTTTGATGCTCATCATTTTTGCATAGTGTGTTGTTGCTTGGGTTGAATAGGATAGCAGCTGCCTGAAGTGTGAAACCCAGGTCCTTAAAGGGAAAGCTGTGCAGGGCTTTAGATATTCAGCACACGTGACCTGGTCTGGAATACAGCTGAGGAGTTCGATGATGGCGAAAGCTTGGTCTTCACAACTGGTTCCTTAAGTAAAATCAGAAACAATTGAAGGAGCAATGCTCACAATCACACACCCAATCCTCACTTGGCACTAAAATGTGTCGCTTTCAATTCCCAACTTCTAAATTTGATGCTTAGCTACTTAGCAACTTGTTTTCTTAGTTTTGCCAAAAGCAGCATGTGGAATATACACAGAGAAAGACAAATATTTTAGTGCTTAGTTAATGAATATAGTATGCTATACCCACTAACACATTGTTATAGAAATTACACAGGAGTGTTATACTCACTAACAGTGTTTATTATGAAATGTACATGAGTGTTAAACCCCAGTAATGCACAGTATGAATCTCTCAGAGAGTGAGCTCTCAGTCTAAGGTTTGCTAAGGGAAGAAGCATGTAATCCAGGTTCATGCAATCACAACTGGGGATAATTTATGTCAGAAGGAGGCCAGGGGATGTCGAAGCAAATAAAAATAATCAAAAAATCATAAGAGCGGTTCAGATAAAGAAGGACCTTCGGTCCATTTGATTTCATCCTCACAGAAAACCCATTCTATTGTCTTCCATACACAACGTCAAGTGACCTTTAAATGTTTAAAAACCTGGCCTCAATCACCCTTGTCTCGTAACCTGTTCCGGTTGTAATTACAATTTGAATAAATACTTCCTCGTGTCTGCTCTGCAATTGCCCTTTGCAACTGTAAGTGTCAATCTTCTTGTTCTACTGTCCCGATACATCTGAAAGTATTACCTTGGGTTTACTTTCTCAATCACATTTAAAATATTGTAAACCTCTCTAATGTCCCTTTTCAAGAAGTTTCTTTTCAAGACTGAAGAGCCCCAGCTTGTTTAAATGTTGCTCATAGCTCATTCTTCTAACATTGGGGATCATCTTTGTTGCTATCCTCTGTACTGGCTCTAAGGCCCTAAGGCCTGTGCAGCCCCCTAAGTCATAGTACTCCAGGGGCAGCCTAACCCGAGCACTGTACAACTCGAGTATGACTTGCAATTGAGGAGGAATGAGTGACATTGCAATACTTGATGTTAAGTGCTTCATAGTATATTCAGTTAATATTATGTAACACAAAGTTGCATGGTAGCGACATAGGTGGTTGGATGGTAACCAGAGGATAAAGAGAACTAATGTGGCCAGTGTACAGGTGTCTTTGACAATGAGAGATCAACTCATTTATTTATATTACACTGGAAGCTTGTTGGCTGCTCAAAAAGCAACTGATGGATGTTGTCCTTAAAGAATAAGAAGCCAATCTACCGAAGGGGAAACTGACACTCGATTCTTTGATTTCAAGCATTTTGAAATAACAAGTAAGCAAAATGCCAAGTATATCCTATTTGTTCAAACATCTGGCATAAGATTAGTTCTGTAGAAGCCCAAAGAAATGCTGACAATTGCAGGGCCATTTGATCACTGAGTCAGTCCTGCATTAGTGTCAGTGCCAACAAATTGATTTTTACTGTGCCGATCCTTTCTGAGCCTCAGTGGGCTGCTGGTAAGTTTAGAGGAACTGAGGTCATTTAAAAAGTTACTTTGAAAGACTATATTTTCTGAATTTGCCTACAAAATGCACAAGTCACTTCACTTTACAGTAAAATCCTGTAAAGGGCTCTGGGACATCCTCCCAACATGAAAGTTTCTCCATCAAATATTGTTATTAATATTATTATTTTATTATTAGATCAGAGCCAAGATTCAGGTATCATTGACATCAATGCACCAGTGGGTTCTTGTAACAGATAGCAGTGGTGAACACGGGCATTGGATAGTGATCAGAAAGAACACTGAGGCCAAGAGTGTTCCACTGTCTTCCCAACTGAGATCAAATGAGCACAGATTTGAAATGAAACTTGGAACATGCTATTTGGGTAAATTGCTGCCAAGTTTCGTAGTGAGGAAAAGTGTATTAATGCACACAGAGTAGAGAAAAGCAGAAGATGGAAAATAAAATGACTATTTAGAACATTTGGTGAAAAATCTTGTTAGCTGCCAGAGCATTTTTGTTAAAAAGCTTTGACTAGTTTTCCAAAAAAAATCTGATATTGTTCTCCAGTTTTGCCACAGTCTGAAAACTATTATTGATTTCAAAAATCGACTCTGCTGTTTGATCAGATGCCATTCAAGTCCATCAACACAAGTCCAATGTTACTGATTTGATTTTCCAACAGGCCATTATTCCAATTTAATTACTTGGAATAAAACCAATCCTTTTCTTGCCCATAAATGCAAAGGCACTACTCAATTAGTGCTCTAAGATATATATGTAGACCACACATTGGCGTAAAAGGACAGGAGGCTGAATAAGACAGTACAAAATGCATTGTTACTTACTAGATGGATGGTACATAAGTGCAATTCATACAGTGTTCGTCTTTCAATCTATATTGTATAATCTAACCCTGAACAGTCAGCTCTACTCAGCTCTTTGATTGTACCCATGACTTCACATGCTGAAGTCACAGGCACATGCTGTTGTCAAATAATTTTCAAATGGCCTCAAGCTTACTTCCTAGACATGCTTCTCTGGACAATAAGCTCTGAAAATCATTGAATTTTACACCTACAACACTGGAGGGTAATCCACCTCCGGAAAAACACAAATTGAATATTTAGACACCAGAAAGCAACAGTTTTTTTTGCCAGGTCCAGTGATGAAAGAAAGAAAAGGCTTATCTTGATGAGAGGGTTTGTTTTGATCTGTTAAATGGTTTAACATGTACTGTACTTACTGAGTTCTCTGTCTTTGTTAAGTTGCCAGTCTCTGCAACTGAAGCTATTTGGTTCTGAGATCTGCTTGATGAGACCTGGAATGGTTCCACACGTCTGAATGAATCCTCTGTGAAGGCTGCTCTATAACTGCTCTCCAAGATGATCTTATCTTCTGGGGGTGTGTATGCTTGTCTTATCTTGACAGGTTTAACAACTTTAACTCCAGTCCAGGGCTGGAACTCCTGCCTGAAACAAATAGCGTGCTTTATACCAATTGTTTGTAATGAAGGCCTCTTGTGAGCAAGGCCACACTGCATGCCATGCCTTGCTCCCAAGGAACATAGTCAAGGTTGATGATCAGGCTGCTGTCAACTGGGGATTTGAGTTATTCTAGATGGCTCAACTAGTGAAAATTTCACTCCAGCATTCCAACACAATCCATCCCTCAATATCAAAGTACAGGTATTCATATACCGGATGAATCAAATGTTCTTACTTGTAAGTCTATATGAGATGTTTAAACTGTATGCTATGCAGACGTTTACACATATCAACTCAGTGACAAAAACTTTCACGAGCTCTGATGAAATACATCTCCTGTAATAGCTGCACAACTCTCAACGAATGTTGTCTTTAAAAAGAAAACATAATTAATACTTTAAAAACTCTGTCAATAAGGATTTCTGATTCACTCTATATATGAGTGTTTCTCCTCTCCTTTTCATTTCCTCTTCTAAAGATGATGACACTGACATTTGGTCTGTTTTAAGTTACCTATGTTGTGGGATAAAATGATTCCTTAGCACAGCACAGTATTTTAGCAAGGATATTAATGTAGTGCTGCAGTGACCTAGCGGACGGAGGAAAGGTTGGTACTGCAGTTTTGTTTGTGAGAATTAACATTGTTATATAATCCAGTGGATAAGGATCAATATTTGAAACACTGAGATTTATTTAATTTATTAGGATGAATAATTCAAATTCTATGTGAAACCAGTAAGCAAGGATGACTATTACCATGTGATCCAGTTGATAATGATTTTTTTTGGCCTTGACATACTCCTTAAGTCTCCACTTCCAACCGCAGGAACTGAAGTTGAGAAGCTAAGATTTGCTTGCCAGTTCTAGAGTGCACAATCTTTGCCAGGGTAATGATGTACACCTACTGAGGCCTGCAATAACACTGGTATGTCTTAGCAGAAGCCAAAGCAGCAGGAAATCAAATTATGCATTGGAACTTAACCACCTAAACTAGCATAACACCTGCTCCATGTCCTGCTTGTGACTTACATGGTTATTAGGAGACGGTTGGGAAAAATCCCACTCCAACATATCTACAATTCTAAATCCAGTTGATGAGTCATATAGGCTATTCATATATTTATAGTGGCCTGCAGTATTGCAGACTGGCTTGGATCAGTCAGGTATTGCTAGACTGTGGTTCATTTTCCCTTCAACTAGGCATGTCTCCTTGGAGCCAGGACAACCACAGACACAAGCCCTGTGTAGCTGCCCCAACGAACATAGTCGAGGTTGATTATCGGACAGCTGATAAGTGGGTATTTGAGCTCTTGCTCAATGGCTCAACTAGTTGGAGGTGTGCAATTTCAGTAGTAGTTGTTTCATATAGTGTATCCAAGAAATCTCGGATAAATAGTGCGTGCCTGGAACCCAGAACTTTAATATTCATTGTCATGTGCCTTCCTTATCAGTCTTTTAAATTATTATTTCTCTTAAGTCTGGTGGAGAAATCTACACAGTGGCCAAGCAAATTAATGTTCAAGAACTCCATTTTTGCATACCAGCGTTATCTAATAAATGTTTTATGCACACCCTTGTGTCAGGAGCTTTGGCAAAAGACATTATAATAATCAAATAATAAACCTTGCATTTGATTTAGCATTTTTCACATCTTCTTGACGTCTCAAAGCGCTTCACAGAATATACTGTAAAGTGAATTGACTGTATATTTGTGTGCAGCAACCAATTACGCACAGCAGCGTCCCCACAAACAGTCATGGATTGAAAATTACCAATTTATTATTGTTTTGTTTTGGAGGGATTATTATTAGGCCTGTGGAGTACGGAAAGTTGCTCAAGGAATTGAACCTAGGTGTCTCGCTTGCAAGGCGAGTGCTCTAACCACTGAGCTACAGGACTCCACATTCTCTCTCTGTGACTCTGACTCCAGTATCCAGAGTGCAGTTTTCTATACACCAGAGCCCACCCTTCTTGCAGCTGCTTTCTTTTACACCAAATCCACCTCACAGATTTGTCCTGGTCTCACATAGCCTGCAGCTATACTATTTTAAATGTGTAAATCACTTTTTTTTTTACTGAGAGCATAAATAATGTATTAGGTAACTTAGAAACCAACATATGTAAGAATAATGCATAAAGCCAGAAATTATATCCCCCAATTTATCTATCTGTTTGTCCAAGAGGGCACAAGCCAGAATTTCAAATCAACAGCAATATTTTGGGATTACTGGTCTACAGCAATAAAGTCTGGAGACAAAGTCAAGTTCATGGGGGAGGGGGGGATATTTCTTTGTCAAAGCCCCTTGCAAGAGGGATGTCTATTAAATATTTAATGTCAAGCAACCTTGGAACATAACATTGGCTTTCACCCTCTTGAACATGATACTGGATATATCTCTCCACTGCCCTCTGCATAAAATACTTAAAGCATACTTGTTCACATTTCCCCTAGGAAGATAGAGATTATACTGGACTTTATGAGTACAATAAACATGTAATTACAATTACATGTAGCTCACCTATATCCTTCGGAATCCAAAACGCACCAATACCATTGCCTTTCAAGATTTTTTCTCTAATCTAAACGTTTGTATGGAGTCTCCTTGCAGCTTAGGTATCTTAACATATTAATGTGGTCACCTGTCCACCTGGCGTTTGTAGCCTCTTCAACCATCGCTGTATCAACTCCAGCGATGGTGTAGCCCCTTCAACTTCATTATAGCCTTCACACTCCCAGCATGTGGAGCAATACAGAAGTGCACACAATAGGCTGTGGGGCTTTGGGTTAGTGCTTTCTACAAGACCCTATCATTTTCTATAGACTCTATCCTTCTGGTTATTTCCTCAAATTTTGTTTGTTTTCTGGTACCATCTGGAGGGTTTCAATGAGATATCTGGCAGTACCCCCACATTATTTTCCTGGACAACCTCAAATAGTCTTCTGCTACAGTATATCTGTTTGTTTTAAATCCCTCCATCGGTGTCATGGTTTGACATCATTGCTGTGCAATGTCACTGCTCGCTCTCGTTTGGGTTTCAAAATGTTCAATTGCTGAGATGACAGGATGCACACAGGGAAATGTAGAAATGTGCACTGTCTCCTCGGTGTTGCATATCTAATGCTCATTAGTAAAGGGTGTTCGAGCTTTGTGTAACAGAGCATACATGCTCAGCAGCTTTGCAGGCTGTGTTTCAAGGGAAACAACAGAATCAGCAGATTTATCACGAGGAACTGGGAGTGGGCGCTGTGAGCTGTGATTTTCACAGCTTCTGCGGCTGAAGAAAAAAAATGATGCTGCGTGGGAATTTAATGGAAAAAAATATGAAACCACCCTCCCTGACAATTCGATAATTGCGTTTCTCTGCGTTCAGCAACCTGTTCAGAACCACACATTCATCAGTTTGCAGAACAGAACAAGAACAGGTTAAAGCTGGTGGGTGTTTATACCTGGCTGATTGTTGAGGATGATTTTTGGGGCCAGAATGACTTGATCCAGCCCTGCATCTTTATTCCTCAATACAATAACATGTCACCATGACCCTGACACAAGTGATCCAATGACATATTTGTACTGAGACTATCATTTTATAAGAAAATTCAGGGTTTACAGGTACAGTCGCAAAGCTGCCAATTTACTGGTGTTTTTTTCGCCCCAGTGTCAAGGGGTTCCACCCTTTGAAATGTTCTGAGTTTTTAAAATAACAAAATCTTGGGTTTGATATCACGTCTTCCAGGTGTCTCATAGCGCTTCACAGAATACACGTTAAAGCAAATTGACTGTGTATTTTGTGGGCGAAATGGGGAAAATAAATCAGTAAAGTGCCTGCTTTGTGACTATCTGTTTTTTTTTAAATCCTCACAGACAGTACGAAGGGAATCTGCAGTTGAACACTGCAAAGTAGCATTGGAAGATGTGGTTACACATCAGATAAAGGACAGTGGACTCGCCTAGAATCACTCCTTTTTTGGATCAATTTTTTAAAAAAAACTGCATTTCTTTTGCTAATTTAATGCAAGGACATATTTTGCTTGCAAAGGCATTCCATGCAGCATTGAGCATCAAATTGCTCTTTTCTTATAACCTCCAGAAATTAGCACCATGACTGACAATCCTTTGTTTTTTTCCAATATAAAAATGGTATTATCTCGTTAATTTACTGCAATCAAATCATTGTGATCTGAGAACTCTTAATTCTCACACATCAAAAAAAAATTGGTCATATCAATGACGGGTTGTGAGACACTACTGTGCGTAATTGGCTGCCAAGTTTCGCCCACAAATATAGAGTCAAATTCACTTTACGGCATATTCTGTGATGCGAGTCGAGATGTCTAGAAGACATGAAAGGCGCTATATCAAATGCAAGGATTATTATTATTATTATTATCTCTCTTCCTGAGTGCAATGCACTGTCGCCTTATTCAATGTCAGTCGGATTCGCTGAGCGGTAATTTCCAGAGATTAAAGGGCATAAACACATTCATCAAAGGGGTTGCTTAGGGAATTAAGACAAAGCTGGCAAATTTCCAGAGTTGATTTGAGTGACATTATTGGGGACCCTGGTCCAGATCCAACCTCCTCATCGCCCCCCAACATAATATAAACCGTTTGAAAACAACCGTACAGAAAAGAAAAGTGCTGCAGAAAATGTAAAATGATGCCACGAGAGCTACAAACAGTGCGGAATGTACAGATTTGAAAGCAAATGTAAAGTGCGATCTCGGTGTCTCAATTAGATCCCGAGAGATCACTGATTTTCCTACGTGGTGTGTGAAAGGTGCCCCAACTCGGGGGGGAAGGGATCAGGTGTGTGGAGGTGTGGGGGGGAAAAAAAAAAAGCATCTGCAGGTTATTGGAGCTTTGATCGGGGCGAGTGCTGAAAGAACAGCTCCTTAACCAGCAAACGCCCCTTTGGCACTCACCTGTAGGAGGTGGTTTTCACCGCTGGTCTGATCTCCTCCTCTCTGGTGTGTCTGCTCACCGGCTCTCTCGGGCTGTCCCGCCTCTCAGCTGCTCTCTGCTTATCTCCATGTGTCCCGGGGTGGAAAGTCTGAGCGCTGGTGCTGTGGGAGATGGACAGCCCGTCCTGCCCGCCTTTGATCCAGGGGTAATTTGCCTTTTTGGGGATGGGCCAGGGCTTGAAGTCCAGCTTGTACTGGGTCTCGCTGGAGAAGGGGACCTCTGACGGCTGATACTCCTGTCTGGGTTTGCAACTCGCCTCTTTACGCACCTTCCAAGACTTGAAGTCGTGCTTGGAGACGGACTCCTGAACGGGAGGTTCTCCAATCCTGTGATCTGAGGCCAGAGCCGGGCTGCCGTTCAGTGCCGAGTCGGTGGGGACCTGCTGAGCCACCGATCTCACCTCCTGCTCAATGATTTCCGAATAGTTCTGGACAGTCAATGGCACCGACAGGTCAGACTTGTCCAGTTGGTTCCAAAAGCGAGATAAGCAGCACACCCTGCTGATGCATGGCCAAGCCATGACCCAGACCCCAGCCCCAGACCCCAGACCCCAGACCCAGACCCACACCGAACAGCAAACAAACAAACAGACAAACACCAAAAAAAAAGAAGACAACACAATATTTCAACTTAAAATCTCAGCGCTGTTAAAGGTTTCCCCCTCGATCCTCGCTGACCAGTTTCAGCATCCCTTTGCGGAGTGCTGGAGGGGCCCCACCACCGCGTCCGCGTCCGCAATTTTAGCGGAGAGATTACAGAGCCAGCGCATGTCTGCTGTTACTGCTGCTGCTGCTTCTCTCTCTCTCTCTCTCTGGCTGTGTCTGTCTGTCTGGCTGTCTCTCTGCTGTGGGTGAGATGCTGCATTGCAAACCCAGCTCACGTGGCCAAGTCTCCTGGAACATCCATCCACCCCCCCCCTATCCCCCTATTCCCCCCACCCCCCTCAGCCCTGGATGGACCTCCAGCCACCCCAGCCCTAAAAATACACCCTTCGAAAAAAAAACCAAACTGGAACAGCCATCTCCAGGCGCAGTCCCAATTCCGTCAACAGATCTAAGTAATCCATTCTCTTTATTGTCCAATTCACTGGTCTGCAAACACAGTGAGGGATCACAGCGTCTCCTGCAGTTCATTCTCATTGTATTACAATGCAACCGTTAGCAGCCCCGCGGTCACAGATAAATTGGGCTCTGTTAATACAGTTGACATCATCTGCAAGACTCCAAGGAGACCCGCTCTAAAATTCAAAGGGGACGAACTCTTTGCTGTTGGGAAGTGTTTGTTTGCAGCGGAGATGGATGGTGTTTGCAATTTAAAGCTGAAACTGTGTGTAGCTGGTTATACACGATGAGGTTAGGTAAGAGAGAGGCAACGATCAATTCCATTTGAAATAGATACACCGACTGCACTGGTTTATCTGCTGCACTTCACTGGGACCGTTCTGTGTGGCTTCCACTGAGCACACGGTCTGTGCACCGCTATCTTCCCGAGGGAGTCAGACAGCAGCCAGTCTTTGCAATGTCTTTGCAAAAATCCAGGATCATTGCAATTCCCCCCCTTTTTTTAAAAAAAAAACACACAAACGAGATGCATAAATTCCTAAATTCCCCAACAGACTCACAGACTGGGTATGAGACCAGTTGTGAAATCCTCTTGTTAAAGGTTACTGAAGGAGGGGTGAGAGCTGTTCTTTCAGCACTAGGACACTTGCACTTAACTCAAAAGATGTTTCTCGGTGTCTCTCTTGTTTTAGCAGTTTGGCCTCCAGCAGAGAGGTTATCCTTGGTTTGGCCTTATCTCTTCATAGCATTTACCAGGATAAGGGAAATTAGTACACTGAGCAATTGCAATTCAATTCTGCCCCAATGTTGTGTAGAACCTGCAGGTAATCCTTTCAAGATCCTCACTCTAGTGTTTAAATCCCTCCATTCCTTGGCACTCCCCTATCTCTCTAACCTCCGCTCAGCAGTACCCGCTGCCTCCATTCTACTGGGTTCGGCCTCCTCCGTGTCCCCCGAATCCTCCGCTCCACCATCGGCGGCCCGTGCCTTCAGCCAGTAGCCCCTGAAATTTTGCAACTCCCTCTCTCAACCCCTTCGCTTCGTCCCCTTCTATCCCATCTTCAGGTCACACCTGAAGACATTCCTCTTTGACCGCACTTATGATCACCTTCACCCTCCCCCTGGCTCGGCCTTCGGCTCTGCCATTGTTAAGTGCTCTGAGACACCGCCCAGCATGGAGGGCGCTATATAAATGCAAGTTGTTGTTGTTTTTGTAATAAGGTAGCTTTCTAGTACCTGCTCCAGTGGTGGTGGTAAATTCAAAAATAGTTGCCCAGTAGCCATACTTGTTCTTGCTCTGAGCACAAATAATATTGGCGCCCTTTGCCCTCAGCAAAAATACCTTAACACTTGTATTTTTCTTTGGTAACTTCTGTTCACTTGCTATGTTTATGTAACATAGCAACACCCCACAACAACAGCAACAACAAAATTACATTTGTATAGCGCCTTTTACATCGGGAGGACGTCCCAAGGCGCTGGACAGTCAGTGTTTTGGACCTGAGCTTGGGGTCGAGATTGGGGAGGGTGGAGGGCAGGGGGAGAAGCAGGATGATCGAAAGCATGGTCGAAGAGGAGGGTCTTGAGATGGGTCTTGAAGGAGGCAAAGGAGGGGGCGAGGTGGAGGGACTGCGGGTTGGAGTTCCAGAGGTTGGGGGCAGAGTGGCAGAAATACAAATGCCCAGTATTTGTATATCTCTCAAAAATATGTTTATTATCTGGAAATTGAGCGGCAACACCAAATAATCCTTGTATCACATTTTGTTTATTACAGGAAACCTCAAACAAATGCCACATCCAAATAAACAACTCTAAAGGTCACTCAGCAATCATGGGTTGCTTCAATATGCACAACCCACTCATAGTCAGCCCTTGTATCCATCTTCCAATATGTGTGATGTTTTCCCAAAAATCCAATCAACCCAGCCATTTATCTCCCAACATATATTACTGACAGATCACCTATCTTAATTTAGGGAATTAATACTGTAATTCTTATAATAATAATAATAATAATCCTTGCATTTGATATAGCGCTTTTCACATCGGGAGGACGTCCCAAAGCGCTTCACAGAACACACTGTAAAGTGAATTGACTGTATATTTGTGGGCGAACGCGGCAGCCAATTGCGCACAGCAATGTCCCACAAACAGTCGTAGATTGAAAAATGACCAATTTATTATTGTTTTTGGTTTTGGAGGGATTATTATTAGGCTCTGTGTGGAGTAAGGAAACTTGCCCAAGGTTTTGCCCTCTGCCTGGAATTGAACTCGGGTCTCTCACTTGCAAAGCGAGTGCTCTAACCACTGAGCTACAGGACTCCACACAATTCTTATTAGTTTCAATACATTAACAGCAGGTTACATTTATATAGTGCCTTTCATATTGGGAGGGTGTCTTATAAACACTATACACAACTAATACTGAGCTCAAGCCGGATATTCAATATTATTGAATTCTCAATATTAGTTTTTTTAACACATCTGCAGATGTGGCCAGAGTAGAACCATTACATTGTTCTGTTTTACCTGTTGTTTAAAATAACTCTGTTATGCACACTTTCTTTTCTCTCATAGCATTGCATTCAGTGCTCCATTTTACAAACCGTATGGAAAGAAACATTGTCAATGTCAACAACAACTTGCATTTATGTAACCCTTATCAAGTGGTAGCATCTCGAAGAGTTCCCTGCATCAGCAAGTAGATAGGAGATTCACAGAAACAAAACCTTTTCAGACACAAGTAACCAGAGACAGACTTACAGATTATTAGTAACAGCAGTGCAGGCAATGGACTGCAACCATGTGAGCACTTGCTTTTTTTTTTGTTCGAAAGCTGCTGTTAGAGTCTACCAGCTTGGTGTAACTCAGATAATTTAAAGCTGAAATGAAAAGATGAGCTGTTAAACTTTTGTTTATTAATAATAATATCCTTGTATTTGATATAGCACCTTATCACATCATTGAGACTTCTCAAAGTGCTTCCCTAGGATATACCGTAAAGTGGTTTGAGTGTGTATTTTGTGAGTGAAACACTGCAGACAATTGTGCACAGCAATGTCCCACAACAACAACAACAACAACAACAAGATTCCATTTATAGAGCGCCTTTCACGTCAGGAGGACGTCCCAAGGCGCTGCACAGTTGGGTCATGACCCGAGCAGGGGGGAAATGGTCAGGGTGAGGGGAGGGAAGGGAGGGAGAGAGGAGGGGGGAAATGGTCAGGGTGAGGGGAGGGAAGGGAGGGAGCGAGGAGGAGGAAGAGAGTCGAGAGGGGAGCTGAAGGCTCGGTCAAAGAGAAAGGTTTTGAGACCGGCCTTGAAGGAGGAAAGGGAGGAAGCAAGGCGAAGGCACTGGGGGATGGAGTTCCAGAGCCTCGGGGCTGAGAGGCTGAAGGCCCGACCACCGATAGTAGGGCGGTTGGGGCGGGGGACGTGGAGCAGACCGGAGCCAGAGGAACGGAGGGTACGGGCAGGTAGGTAGGGGGATAGTAGGTTGGAGAGGTAGGAGGGAGCAAGGCCGTGAATGGCCTTGTAGGTGAGGATGAGGATCTTGAAATCAATCCTCTGGGGGATGGGGAGCCAGTGGAGGCGAGCGAGGGTAGGAGTGATGTGGTCCCGAAGCCTGGTGCGGGACAGTACACGAGCTGCAGAGTTCTGAATGACCTGCAGCTTGTGGAGGGAGGTGGCGGGAAGGCCGGCGAGGAGAGAGTTCCCATAGTCCAGCCTTGAGGTGACAAAGGCGTGAACCAGGGTTTCAGCAGCGTGAGGGGTGAGGTAGTGCCGTAATCTGGCGATATTCCGGAGGTGATGGAAGGCGGTGCCAGTTGTGGTGCGGATGTGAGGGAGAAAGGACAGCTCAGGGTCGAACAAAACGCCGAGGTTCCTGACTGGCTTTGAGAGGTGGAGAGTGCAGCCTTGGATGCTGATGGTGTCAGCGCCTGAGGTGCGGAGGCGCTGACGTGAGCCAATCAGGAGGGCCTCGGTTTTTCGCACGTTGAGCTGAAGAAAGTTGTCTCTCGTCCAGGACTCGATGTCGGACAGGCAGGCTGTCAGGACATCGGTGGTCGTGGAGTTGAGAGTAGAGGAGGAAAGGTAGAGTTGGGTGTCATCCGCATACATGTGGAAGTTAACCCCATGTTTGCGGATGATGTCACCGAGGGGGAGCATATAGAGGGTGAAGAGGAGGGGACCGAGGACAGAGCCCTGAGGGACACCACATGAGACAGTACGGGGGGTGGAGGAGAAGCCATTCGTTGAGACGAAGTGAAGACGGTGGGAAAGGTAAGAGCTAAACCATTCAAGGACAGTGCCTTGAAGGTTGAGGTGGGAGGACAAGCGGTGGAGTAGGATAGCGTGGTCGACCGTATCGAATGCTGCCGATAGGTCGAGGAGGACGAGGAGACAGAGGGAGCCCTGGTCACAGATGGTCAGGATATCATTGGTGACCTTGACCAGGGCAGTTTCTGTGCTATGAGCAGCACGGAAACCTGACTGAAGGGG